GATAAACGAAATGTATTATTAGGTTTTAATTGGATTTGAAACTCCTAGATCTTTTGAGATTCATTGAACTGTTCAATGGCATGTTTCAATCTCGAGTGTGCCCTTCAGGTTTTGTGACTGGGATGCCGAGGATCACAAAACAAGGTGTGAAGTAACCATGCAAATTACTTGGTACCCTTAAGTGTTTACCCTCAATCGATGTGCCGGTTAACCACACACGCTCCATCGATACTATGATAAACATTAAGTTACCCTTTGCCTACCTTGTTAAATACGAGTTAGTGTGCCGGTTAACCACACACGCTCCACTAACCGACTTAAACAAAGTGCAAAGTGTAATTTCATGGATTAGCACCTTATTCACATTTTCCTAAGTAACTAAGATTGGGAATAATTAAGAGTTTAGTTACTTAGTATTTATCATTAATACTTTTAATGAAGGGAGAATTATAGTCATGTCAAACCCGTTCGGCTAACGACCCTCCACCAGTCAAGCAAGCGGTGGGTGAGAGTGGACACCCATTAAGTTGCCATTTTATAGGCAACAACCTTATACCCACCTTATAGACCGGCTTCGTGAATGAGGCGTACTAGCGGTAAGACCGACTTTACTCTTATACATATATTTATTATTAACTTATAATATTATAAAGTATAAGGGTTGAATTTTAACTTTTAAAATTCTAAGGGCTAACTTGGAATTAAAGTATTCATAAGAGAAAACTTTACAAATTCCAAAACTTGAGGGCAAGTTTTGAAACTATTCAAAACTAATTAATTCCATAACTTATGTGTTTAAAGTAGTTTTAATCCAAAAACTCTTCAAGTTCCATAACTTGAGGACAAATTATGGAAGACTTTAAACTAATAAAGAATTAACTTTTTCTTTATTTTATAACTTATGAAATTAATTAAGGTTACATTATTTTTTTTTATTTAATGAAGAGACTCTTGGTCCTCCATAACTTGAGGACAAATTATGGAGTCATAACTCCAATTAAAAAAACTAGACTCTTCATTTTTGTAACCTTTGCCAACTTTATGAGTTTTATGAGTCTTTAATGTGACTCTTCATGTAACTTGAGGATAAGTTACACAAACACATTTTTACTCAACTCTTAGATTAAAATGGATTGAAAACAACTATTTCATCAACTTTTCTATTAATCTAAGAACTCATAAGAACAAGATAATTCAAATCAAACTTTTTCATGTAATTAGTCTAACCTTTAAACTAATACAAAACATGAATCTATTGACAATTATCTTTGAAAATGGATTAGCATGAACATTACCACATCAAAAAACAAGTTTATAAGTTCAAAAACAACTTAAGGTAATGTTCCTAGTCCATTTCTAGCCAAAAACCTCGAAAATATGTTTGTCTGGGGTCCAACTCGTCGAGTGCATGAACACAACTCGGCGAGTTGGATGCATTTTGCCTTGGACTCGTCGAGTCCCTTCATGGACTCGGCGAGTCAGCTGGGCTGACAGCGTCAAAACTCGATTTTTCAGCTTCTATTGCAGGTATAACAAGAAAACAAGCCTAGGCTCTGATACCACTGTTGGGTTATGAGCATTCTAACACTCCTAAGTGTACATGCAACCCTAAATACCTTGGATCTATGTTTTCTCTATTATACATGCAAATATGAACATCCAAGGTATTATCCTAATCTAGCATACAAAACTATCAATATAACAAGATAGAATACATACCTCTTTGATGGTGCTTGTCTTCATGAAGCTTGAGTGCTTAGTGCCCCAAGTGTGACACCTCAAATGGTTAACACAACACCAAATACAATTGGAATAACTTGAGAGAAATTAGAACACTTCATGAAATCGTCTAGCCCTCATACACACACATAGTCACGATTTCTTTAGCCATGGGTTTCTTTTATATGGTGGCTATTAGGGTTACACCATGTAACCCATGACTTTACCCATTCCTTATGGTCCATGGATTTTAACCTCCATGGAGTATCCATGGGTCACCCCATGGACTTAGTCCAACATAAGGAATCTTGGATCACAAGCCCACATATATAAGAATGAATGATTTACACAATCAACCCATATATTTAATTAGTCTTCTTTTGACCACTTAATTAATCCTAGATTAATTCTTGATCAATACTAATTAAATAACCTTATTAATATATTAGAACTTATAATATATTAACAAACCTTAAGTGTTATTTCTCTCATTTTAGTCTATCCAAGTGCATGATGCCATGCAACCCAAATGGACCATGCCGGGTCGGGTCAAGTCTTACCAATTATAGTTATGGACCATGAATCTATTGACAATTATCTTTGAGAATGGATTAGCATGAACATTACCACATTAAAAAAAACAAGTTTATAAGTTCAAAAACAACTTAGGGTAATGTTCCTAGTCCATTTCTAGCCAAAAACCTCGCAAATATGCTGTATGGGGTCCAACTCGTCGAGTGCATGAACATAACTCGGTGAGTTGGATGCATTTTGCCTTGGACTCGTCGAGTCCCTTCATGGACTCGGTGAGTCTGCTGGGTAGACAGCAACAAAACTCGATTTTTCAGCTTCTATTGCCAGTATAACAAGAAAACAAGCCTAGGCTCTGATACCACTGTTGGGTTATGAGCATTCTAACACTCCTAAGTGCACATGCAACCCTAAATACCTTGGATCTATGTTTTCTCTATTATACATGCAAATATGAACATCCAAGGTATTATCCTAATCTAGCATACAAAACTATCAATATAACAAGATAGAATACATACCTCTTTGATGGTGCTTGTCTTCATGAAGCTTGAGTGCCTAGTGCCCCAAGTGTGACACCTCAAATGGTTCACAATCATCAAAACACTTAGAATAACTTAGAGAGAATTCTACACTTCATGAAATCGGCTAGCCCTCTTCAAGAATAATACTAGTCTCTCTAGTGGCCGATTTTCCTCAAGAATAAGATGCTTATATAGTTATACAATTAGGGTAAACCCTAATTGTCATGACTTTCCATTTCCTTGGATCCATGGGTTCAAATACACCATGGATCATCCATGGAGCATCATATGGGTTTTGGCCCAACTAGATAATCCATGGAGCATTAGCCCACTATACAAGTATGGATGATTTACACAATCAACCCATATATTTAATTAGTCTTCTTTTGATCACTCAATTAATCCTAGATTAATTCTTGATCAATACTAATTAAATAATCTCATTATTCTTATTATTAATATACTAGAACTTATAATATATTAATAAGCATAAGTGTTTTATTTCTCTCATTTAGTCTATCCAAGTACATGATGGTATGCAACCCAAATGGACCATGCCGGGTCGAGTCAAGTCTTACCAATTATAGTTATGGACTTAGACATTAATCCAACAGATACATGTCCACATAGGACTTCTAGAGTTCTGCAGTCAAAGTCGCTAGCATGATGCAATGAAATTTCGTAGCATCACTCTCATGGGCCTCAAAGGCATCGATCTTTTCAGCAGTCACTACTAGAAAACAACCCTTTAATGACGCACAAACAATGACACTCGCTGATAGAGGACGCGCATTGGTGTGTGCCCTAAAAAATAATCTCAATTTTGCAAAATTTGAAGGATAGTGGACGCGCATTTGTGTGTGCCCTAAAATTAGTGTAACAAAAGAAAAAAAAAATGCGGAGGGCGCCTTTCATAAAGTGTGCGTCCTCTAAATGTGTCGCTTTATATTTTTTTTCCTAAATGCGCGTTTTTAAAGGGGGGAAATGAAATCTTCTGAAATTCTAAAATTTTGAAGAACCCCGCTTCTACCCTCTCTCCTCAGTATCTCCCTTTTCATTCACTCCTTCCTTCTCTCTGTAAACCCTAAGCCATCGCCACTTCCACCGCCATTGAGCCTTAAAAACTCAATCCACACTGAATCCTACAATAGAACCCTAATAATCCTTTTGAATCAGCACATCCTTTTGAATCGACTCGTCTTCCTTTACCTCTGTACACACTCTCTCTCTCTCTCTCTCTCTGTCTCTCTCTAAGCCCTAAGCTGCCACCACCAACATCGAACCCGATAAGCTTTAAGAGTTTGGAGTGCATGTAGAAACCTAAGCACACACTTTTACCATATCAAGATACCGGTTCAAGATCGGAACACCAATCCCTCTGTCCCCACTCAGATCCCACGCACCGCTGCCCCTAACCTTCTCCTTCAAAACGAAAGAAACGCTGGATGATTCTTCCTCTACCGGTGATCCCACCACCGAATCACTCGAGACTGAATTTTTTGAGGACCGACTCTCGCAGGTACGTCTGCGTAATCAGAGTGGCAAAGGGAAGAAAGTCGACCCATGGAAGAGCATGAAGTCCGGGAAGAAATCCGGTGGGAGTTCAGGATCTAGGGTAAACATGTACCGCCCACTGGTGCCTTCGAAGGATTTGAATTCAGGTTGAGTTTGGAGTGCGTCTAATGAAATCTGATCATCGGCAATGCAATAACGGTTCTCTCTCACACTCGAACCCTAGATATCGCTTCCTACCCTCCTCCATCTCTATTCTCTCCGTCCGACCACCAGACCATCCATGAGCACCGCCAATCGATGACGTCACGATGCCTGCAATTCCGACTCCTATCAAATTGACAGTGGCATGACTTCATTTGACAGGTTTGTGTGTTTATTTTGGCTAGTTTTTGTCTTTGCTTCGGTTTTAGAGAACCCTTTATCAATTTCATCTTAATAGTTAAGCATAATAATCTTGATACTTGATTTTGGCATTTTTCTACAGTTTTATTTATCAATTAGGGCTTGCAAATATTGGAAATCTTGTTGTGTAAACTTTCTTATACATGTATCTGTTATGTATCTGTCTCTACTTGCAATGAATATGATTTCTCATGGTCTAAATTACTACGAATTTTATTTCCAAACAGAACTGGATGGTGAACAACAACAAAATGGGGTCATTCTTGCTTGAACCAATTGAAGGGTTTTAACATTATTCACAGATCATTGATGGTAAATCAAGATTCTGAGATATTTCCAGAAGATGTAGAAGACACCCCATTTGACTTTAATGAACTTGTATCTACTATGCCGTCGGATTGTTTAACTGATACATTATCAGTTTACTTAGAATCATGTGAACCCTTATCAGTTACTAACGATGACCCTTCTCACAATGTAGATGAACCAAATACTGATTCCCTTGTTGACCCTTTTAACTATATTGTCTTAACTGAATCCTCTGAAGTGAGAGATTATAACTATGTGCAAAATATCAAATGTGCATCAACTTGGAGAAGTACCCGAAAGGTTACAATGAATCAAAAAACTGATACCAAATTGGTTGCAAGAAAGAGCATAAGAGCTTCTGGAAAGAAGCCAATGTTAGATTTATTATCTGCAGATGCTGGAAGAAGAAGAAGAAGAAGTGCTTGGGTGTGTTGTGATGATTGTCATAAATGGAGAAGAATATCAGCTATACTTGCAGATTCTATTAAATCCACAGAATGCAGATGGTATGATTTTATCTTTTTCAAATTTCAACCTATGGTATAACAATAGATTTGTGTCTAAATACTTCAAATTTTATAACTTGGATAAAACCTATTTTCCCTTCTTTTTTATCCTTTCAAGTCAAAATTGATGAGTATTGTGAAATTTGTCTTTTGGAAAGTAAGGGTAAGATGGTCATTTAGTGTACCTCATTTAGTGAACCTTACCTTCTTTAAAGCAACAATCTTTCCAGTTTCAAGGTCTCAAGCTCTGTACAAGTTGCTGTAAGTCCCCTGTATTTTACAATTCCTTTTATAGATTGCATGCATTCATATAAACCAACCAAAAGCCCTTTATTATATTGTTTCTTATTTGCAGCTGACAGAAGCATTTGGGAAGTTCTATGGAAGCTCAAAACAGGGAACCAGCAATGATAAATCTTGTGCTGGTGTTCATGACAACTGCATCAAGTATATATCACCATTCTTACTTTTTTTTTTCTAATTGAATTTATTCTTGTTAATTTTAATGTTGTGAAGGCATAATGACATTTTTCATTCTTGTTTAATCGATTTTCGTATCTGACATATCTAGTTGCTATCTTATTGTAGGTACACAAAGGTTTTCTTTAAGACAAAGGATTCCAAAAAGGTTTATATGTGTGACAACCGTCAAATTCTGGTCAATCCAAAGTCAAATAAAGTCAACAAGTCAAACCGGTCAGCTCAACTAACCCTTGTGTACTTGGACTTATGTTCAGTATTTACTAAACAACCCACTATTCTAATAAGAGAACATAAATCGAAAAGTACGTACAACTAGATCTCTTTAACCTAAAAACTGTAGTACGTGGCGAGCCAAACCGATAAAACAATGTTGCATACTCATCAGGAGTGTGTAAGATCCTAAAACAAGGCTTAACAGTGTTTACAAACCTTGCCTTGCGAAGCTAGACACTCACAAATGCCACACTCGGAACCTCTCTCAATCGTGTTCACTCTATCTCTCTCTATGTCAAATCTCTCCCAAATCTCTCCAAGTATGTGAAATCTCTCTCAAATATCTCTCTGTATTAGAAATCTCTCCAAGAATGTCAAATCTCTCCCAAATCCCTCTAAGTATGTGAAAACTCTCTCAAATATCTCTTTGTATGAGAAACCTCTTCAAGAATGTCAAATCTCTCCCAAATCTCTCCAAGTGTGAGAAATCTCTCCCAAATCTCTCTCAAAAGTTTCCCGTAACTTTTTGGAATCATTCGGGTCATTCCGACCCTTAACCGTGTCAAAATCGACTCAAAACGGGGCGAAAACGAGAAAATTGGACATTAGGAACCGAAGGTCCTCTTAGGGACCAAGAGCAAGGAGGAGCCGAACCCTCCTGAGCCGAAGGTCCTCTCGGGGCCGAACCTCACCCAGGAGGAACCGAAACCGAGAGCAAGAAGCAAGAACCGAAACCGAAAGTAAGAACCGAAACCTCCTGATGCGGAACCGAAAGTACTGTTCATCTAACCGAACCGAAGGTACTGTTCACTACTGTTCACTACAGTACGTTCGGTTCTGGCGTTCTCGCCTCTTACTCCCGAACCGAACCCCGCTTTCTCTCGCTTCTCGCTCTGTCTCTTCGCGCCTTCTGTTCTCTCCTCCCCCTCTCGGTTCCTACCCTCTCCCTTCTCCCCTCTCGGCTCCTTCCTTCCTTCTTCTTCCCTCTCGGTTCTGCCTCCCTCTCTCTCTCGGTTCAGCACCAGAAGGCCGAGCCTCGGCCAGATTTTGCATATTTGCCACTTTTAGCCCATTTTTGATATTTTTGACATTTTAAGCCCGTTTTTCATGATTTTAAAGCGGGATTTTCTCCAGAAATTATATTTTAACATTACAAACTCTAAATATTCATAATTTAAACATATTTTGATGAAAATCATTATTTAAATAATAAAAATCAAATGGGTGAATTATTAAAGGTGGAGTGTTGACTTTGCCTTATCCAAAGTCACAAGCAACCACCTCACACCCACTCTTTGACTAACCACACCTCTCCACCTTACCTAGGTCACATCAATGTCTTTTCCACTCAATTATCCCTCTTCCCACGTTTTTGAGGGCTGATTATTCATCCTCTCTTCTCATTTCTCTCATTTGCTCTCATTTCACAAGAAGATCAAACTCTTTCCTCTCTCACTTTCTCTCTCTAGAAATCCAAGATTCAAGGGCTGATCTTGAGTTTTTCCTCCACATTTGGTAAGCATAATCCATTCTCTTTATGATTATCTCATTTATTTCCACTCAAATCATGGATATCTTAGGCGAACTCTCTCATAATTGTGTTAGATCTTCGAATCTTCAAGTGATTCTTCAAGTGTTCTTGGGTTGAACACTTATCTTCTTCAACACTTACCTACTGAAATCACTCAAGGTGAGTTCATACCCCTACATTTTCATGTTTTCTCAAGTTTTCAGGGGGGGAATACAAGTTAAAACACTAGGAACATAACTAAATTTTTCTAACAGCCTTCATCAGAAAAGTTCAACTCCATTCACGGACTGTTTTGGGCATCTTAAACATTTTTGTTTTCAAAACTGTACAAGGTGCAAATAGTTCAAGTTTTTAGCTTTAAAATGGCTACTTGCACATCTCCATACGATTTTTCTACAATTTATGGTGATTTTTACAAAACTGCCTATCATTTCAAACAACAATCCGGACCAGTCTGTGATTATGGACTTTTTCACCCAAGTTAGAGGTCATTATAAATTGTGATAAAAATTATGAGCAAACTAGACACATTTTGTGAACTCTCAGAATTTACGGATCTAGTTTTCGACTTCGTATGATTTTTCTATGATTTTTCCAAAACAGGGCAGAATTGCTAAATTTTGCCAACAGCATGTAAATATCATAACACTTTGTATTATGTTGAGCAAAGTGTATAATCATAAGTTCTAATATTTGAATGTGTTTCCTTGCTAGTTTATCATTATGAACTGAAACTAAGACATTCATATTAAATATTATTCATTCATTTTGGAACACGTACTATTAAACTATAAAAAGTATAGTTTGATAAATTCACAACACTAATACATTTCCATGAAAGAATTCATACATATTACATACATTTTAGATAAACTATAATAGGTATAGTTTATGATACATCACTCTACGCACTCGTACAAGAAGGGTACATTCATACAAGAAATATTTATATTCACACACATTTCACGTAAACTTGTTATCCTATATTGTGAGTTTCTCTATTCTCTCTCTCTCTCTCTCTCTCTCTCTCTCTCTCGTACGTCCGAGTGCGGGATATAATTCCTGGTAGTTATAATCAGAATCTCCTTGAGGGAGAACGTGATACTTGTATATAGATCTATATTGGGATTGACACCCCACACCTTGCTGCTAGCTACAGTTGGACCTGCAGGTCTACGGGTGACAAATGTCATTTTATTTTTCGCGACACTGAGAACGTCGTGGCAGGTTCACATAGTCATAGTATGATTATAACGGCTCACATAGGGAACAATCCATAAGTTTACGGATTTTATTTTTAAAACCTAAATGAGTTTTATGTCGATTTAAAATCACCTTTTATCTCTATGGGTACAAATACAAAGTGCCGGGTCTCTATACAAAGTTATTATGATATTAAAACTATACTTCCTCTAGAATTGTTAGACTTCAACTATAGTCGCTGAGCGTATATGTTTGAGTCATATAAGAATTTAGTCTTGATTGGCCTAGAATTGGTGGTGCCCGCCTCATCTCCTGTTCCTCGTTGGGTTGTGGACCTAGGGCAGACCCACTATATTCAACGTTTTATCTAATTTAACCCTTTATATAACTTTTATACGCTGGACGATTATAGAGGAACTCTACGGGTTACTCTAGGGTTCATTAATGCATCATGTAGGATTATTTCTAATCACACTTAACTAAGAAAATATTGGATTTTCTGGAAATCAAACTCTATCGATTTTACAAGGAAAAACGGGTTCTACTTCAAACAAAACTCTTATGAACTCACCAACCTTTGTGTTGACACTTTTTAAAACTACTTGTATTCTCAGGAAATCAGTGAAACAGGAAAACTTCATCGCTTTGAGGATGGGACGCTAAACCGTCAACAATTTATTTTGTCATCATAATGTAATTGCTTTTGAAACATATAAACATATACTTTGGTGTAACTTTTGCAATTATATATATGGTGGTTGTTTTTACTTTGAGCACTATTATACACGTTGTTGTGATACTGTACATGAAGTCCTCCACCCCCAGACGTTTCCGCCATCCTTGGTTTGGGGGTGTGACAGATTGGTATCAGAGCATTGTTTATAGTGAACTAAGTATATCGAACCACATAAGATATACAAACTATAAATGCATTGGGACTAAGGTCTCTGATTTTAAGATTTCAAAACCACTATACCTTTAAGAATAAATAACTTTTGTTAAAAGTATACATGCATGCATACATACTAAGGTCAGCATCATTTTAGGACAAAACAAAAGTAATGATTGTTGGATATCACAGGTAAGCCTGGGGATGTATGATCAGTCTTGGGAATGGCATAGCCTGATCAACTATGCTGGTCCGAGGAGTGATTAGCACATGCCCAAGAATGGTTGTGATGTGGCAACAAGTCTAAAAACTTACCAACACTACCACAATGAAATACCATAGGGGTATTTTGGCATTATTAAAATTTCATCTGCGATAACTAAATAGATCTTTATCAATAGGTCAATAGTTGCTTAGTGGATACATTAAAATTTTATGTATCCATGACGTCATAGACTTAGAATCTGTGGATCTTTGCTCTACTTCCTGTTCTCGTTGGATTGGGGATTTAGAGTTAGGGTCGCTTATTCGAAGGTCTATCCTGTCCCGAATACATATAATTAGTATGCACTAAACAATTTGTTGAAGTACCTGATAAAGATCATCGTATAATTAGCTAATTAGTACGTTTGCTTAGTTATTTCTTATATCCCCATTTCTCGCGAAGATATCATGGCTGGATTCCATCCACACGATGACCCGTACTACCCTAACCACGACAATACCAAATGGCTCGGAGAGGAGCCAGAGAATGATTTCCCAACCCCTGGAAATGGTCACCAAACTGAAGGCTATGCTGATGGTTCTGACTCCGACTCTGAAGTGGAGAACTTAACCCCGATGACTCTTGTTCCCAATCCTAACCCTTGTTCAACTTTTCAAGGCCCGACGCCTCCTTGGGTAGAGTGCTTGGAAACCTGGAGCGAAGAACAAGACCAACATACGTCGTTTAATAGAGAACGAAGTTTCTACAACATAAACGAAGGAAGCTCAGCAGATAGGATTTTTCCAATCCTGGTCCATAGAGTTGCCCGAAATGAGATTCAGGGTAGAATAACTCTCTATAGTATCGCAGAGGTTGATAGAAATGCAAGAATACATACGATCCGCACCAATCGCCTTGAGCACACTCGTGAAAAATCTAAAAGGACCACAAAACCTACTAACTCGTGAAGTTCATTCATATGGACTTCCTTTATGAAATATATATAAGAAATTCTTAAATCAAAGAATAATGCAGAAA